CTTAACCTCAACTTGCAGCCATATATCCCATTATCAGCTTCAGTTACATTCGAGATGATCAGAGTAGCAGGCTGCTCGATTCTGACTCGAGTAGGATTCAACAATCTTGCTGGACATGTTGTCGTATTTATGACCGCTGACGATGACGGATCTTTCTTTACCGTTGCTATGGTAATCCATTGGTTGTTTTGGTCAACATAGGCCCACATGGGTGATTCTGGATAGAACTCCATATTCCGGTTATCGTAAGTATAGTTCCATTCGAATCGCGCTGCTTTACCCCTTGCCACAAACAAAGTACTCGAGGGCAYTTTAGTAAAACGAGCCATTTTATCTGACAACAGATATGTATTAAGCATAAGTAGTAAGCTTGGAATTTAACGCCAGGTTAATAGTATTTTCCTATTGATCCATCAATCGATCTATTTATCCATCAGATCATTACTGTGCGGAAACACAAACCGGGACCACTTGAACAAATTAAATTAAGATCAAAATCTCTCATAAAATATATGTTTTTTCTCAGATATTCAGGCTTCGTTGCTTGCTCCTGCTTGTTTAGAGTTTGACTTAAGCTTGATTCCTTTGTTTTCACTTTATATCATGATTGTATACATAACTTTCTTCAAGTGTGGTCCCAGTTATGGTGTGTCCGCACAGCAATTGATTCATTTATCACCTCATTCAACCTGCCTTGATTCCCTCTACATACATCAGTTTAATCCAATCAGTCGATTATGAAACAAGTTCCAAATCCATCATTTATTGAACCTGCTCATTCAGAAAAGAATCGCATCTGTTACAATTTACCTGTAACTATAAGTTCCACTTTGTTAGTGACTGAAGGAGATATTCTTAGCACCAAAGATATTCCATACCATCCRTTGTCATTCTTTGTGACGTTAGAAATCACCAAAGTAGCGACTGACTCTTTACTAATGCGAACTGTAGGATACAACAGCCTTGTTGGACATGTTCGTCGACTTAACGTCCACTTCCAACCATGCRGCCCATCATCAACTGCTATGACCGACTTAGTACCATCAGTGTTATAATAGTACCAGACTGGCGAAGTGACGTAATATCCAAAGTCCATGTTCTTGTCACCGACAGTGTAATTCCAGTTGAATCTCACTGTTTCTCCGGCGAATGCTTCAATCCTTGATGGGGAATTAGTTAGCATAACTTTCCCATCTATCCAATGAAGAATATATTTGTTAGTGCACATAATGATGTTACATTATAGATGTAATTTTTAAAGATAAAAAATATATAAACCTAAGCAGACCTAACTGACTTCTTTTCAACGATCGATTTGAGCCCGCGATGTGCGCGCTCAAAAACCGCTGAATAGTATTTACGATTTTATTGAAGAACCATACACGTTTTGAAACTTCAAGAGGACGCCACCCTCTAACTTTGCACGGGACTCTATATATATGTTATTTGTCTCGTCTCGTCTCGTCTCGTTTCGTCTCGTTTCGTCTCGTTT